TGAAGGTTTTGCACTTGCAATGATGTGCCAATACAGAACACAACCCAGGAAGATTGCTATTAGCATTTTGAAAGAAGTAAGTCAAAAAATTGGGTTTTTTTGGCACGAATTACGAGTGGTACTGAAATTCGATGTCTGAGCGCCGTATAGTTTTATGCATTTTTTGCAGCTATGCAATGCAGAAAACGCATATTGACGAGGGGTTGTCTGTCTGTGTGCGCGTGTGTCTATGTGTCCGTGTGTGTATCTGTCACGTTTTTTCATCTCAAGATTTACAAAAGCTACAGGGCTGAAACTTTGGGGACTTAATCTACATGCATATATGGGCCCAAATCCCCAATATAGACGCTATTGCCCGCGTGGTACTCACGTACGAGCCCGCCAAAGTTTTTTACGGGTAAGCTGCTAACTCGGAAACTAGAAATGCTTGGGAGCTGAAATTTTAAAGGGATGTTCCCCGTCCAAGTAGGTATCAGTGAGTTCAAACTCACCCCGCCGAGTATGCATGGTACCTAAGTGTGGGTCCGAGAAAGTTTTCTTCCAGAGAGTTGCTAACTCAGAAAGTTGAAATTTTGAGGTTGTGTTTCGTAACAGTTCTGGCGGCCAATCTTAATTTGTTTATTTAGAAGCATTTGGCGAAAAAACCGGTGCTGGTAGCGGCAAAAACGGCGAGGAACTATGCAAAAAAACGCATCTTCGCACGGGCAGCCCGTGCGTTGGCCAGTTATTCTAAATAATTTAGGTGCGTCATTTACTTGGTCTTGTAACAACGCAGCAACACGATACTCCGGTTATTGAAGTACTCGACAACGCTACTTCCTATGTGATCAACAAATACATCGAGCATGTCCCGTTATGTGAGCGAGTAAGCTTTTTTTTTAAAAATTTTTTTCATGCAGATATAAAGACCTATATTAAAAAAATATATTTTTTAATGTAAAAAAGTGATTATTTCCAGTAATAAAAATATAAAAAATACAAATATTTTCCAGTAATAAATGAATTATAAATTATCGAAATTATTTTCCTTCAAAATATTATTTCTTGTAAAATTTCCTCCCTTTTTCGATATAAATTATTTTTTTTTTGTAAAAATGCGTTTTTTTTTTCAGCAGTCCTGGAATCACGACTTTGCTTCGGCTTCCGAAAAAATCGCCTCAATCGAAACCGATAATTGCTTGGTAATACATACTTAATTGTCAATTTTCAAAAAATTACCTGTCTTTTTTACATAATTTAGTAATT